AAAAACATTCATTTCATCTAGGTTTTCAAATTATTCTCTCATTATTTAATAAAATCTCTTGCATTTATAGTTATGCCCCCTTTTTATTTCTAATATTTCTGGTTCTCCTTCCCTTCCTCCTGCTCCTGTTCTTTTTCTGGTCTGCTTTTTCCTCCTCCTCCGCTTCCCCTTTTTTCTTTATCTATCTCTGTATCTCTCTGTCTCTCTCTCCCCCATCAAAGAATTGCCTATATTATTATTTTTTTCAACGACAACAAGAAGAGCTTTTGGTTTTGTTTACTAATTGTTCAGTTGTTTTGTTTTGGATGCTAGCTTATTACTTTCTGCCTTTGTCTTTAGTACTGTCCTCCTTGGCTTTATTTAAATTTATTTTCTTGTGTTTTTTTCTCTTCTAGTTTCTTGAATTGGAGGCTTGGATAATTTCTTTTCTTCTTCTTTGTTTTCTAAGAAATTCATGTAAGGCTAAAAATGTCCTTTAAGCATTGCTATAACCAAATTGCCCATTTACCAGAACGATATGCAATGATTTCATATTTTCTTCTTTTTAAACAAGAATTTAATTAAGAATATGTAGGTTTTTAAATTTTTCATATTGTTGCAGATAAGATTTGCTGAGAAGCAGATTCTGGGATGAAAATTGCAGTGTGGGACTGTTATTAGTTTTAAAAGGAGTGCTCCTGGGATCACCACCTGTGGAAGTGAAGGGACAGAGCAGGGTTTGGCAAAGGGAGAAGTTGGACTGGGATGGTCCTGCTGAGTTGTCCCCAGCTGGGGTGAGGGAACCAGGCCTTTATACACCTCCTTTCAGTGTCATTCAGTCATTGAATGTGGGTTTCCCAGGAAGTGGGCATGACCTTGGGCAAGGCAGCTCTTTCCAGCTAAGCTAAGACAATTCCTGAAAAGTGTTGACAACAGAGATCTGTCTGCCAGCAGCTGGGGGAAGAATCCTTCCTTCCAGGAGGAGCTGATAGGCACAGTTCAACAACTCCTACAAATACTTATAGTTTAACATTTTAACTAACTTTTGGTTGTTGATTTTTAATCCATATAAGACATTTCTCCCACGAATGCAAATATTATTTTTTATTGAATTTCAGTGACTTCAGAGTATTTAATTAGATGCACAAACCCATATTGTGAGACATTTTATTTGCTTGGAATTTTTTGCTATTATAAACAATGCTGTGACAATGCTTGGAGCTGAAATCTTGCAGAAATAGTAATAGTAGCCACAGAGGTAGTGCTGTTATTATTGCCCATAGTTACTTTCTTAAGATAAACATATAGAAGTAAAATTACATGGAAATGCACATTTTGAGGCTATTGATATTTAGTGCTATTCCACACCAGCAGTGTTGGAGAATTTCTATTTGTGCTTTCTAATCAATAAGGATATTACCTAATTTATTAACAATTTCATAAGGTAGCGATGATATCTTACTATTATTCTATTCAATGATGTATGATTTAAATGAGTATTAAAAAATGACATTTTCCAGCCTAAAATGAGGGCACCAGATCCGATGTGGCAAGAGCAAAGACTTGATGTCTAACATTTCTGGAAGGAAATGGGATTATTGTTAGAAGGAACCTTAAGTATTACTTACTCCACTCTCTGCAATTATCAAATGTGAAACTTGAGGTCTGGAGAGTGAAAATGACTTGCTAAAAATTACCTACCTACTAAATACTAATACCTGCCAAGATTAGACCCATGGGTTCCAGCCACACCACTCCAATTTGCTCTGGAAATGAATGTACCTTTCTTACCAGCTTCCAAAACCCCATCAAGCTGTGGTGCTGCTGAAACTGGAAATGATGAGCTGCTATGAAATAGTGTAGATTTTGTGCTTTATTCTCATCAGATTACTTAAACATATGATAAATATATTTATATTTTCCTGATGACTGTCTTGTGCTGAGTACTGCCATGTGATTTTCGTGGCCCTCTTATCTCTGTCACATGGCATAATGGTGAAGAATACCTTCAGAGTTAGATTATCTGGATTTGAATCCTGAATCCAGCCATTAATAGCCACACAACCTAAGATAAGGTACTTAATTTAACCCTCTGTGCTTCTGTTTCCTTATCTTTGAAATGGGCATAATATTTGTATCTATCTTATAGGGCTGTTACAAGTAGTCAACCAGATAATTCTTGAAAATTGCTTAGGACAGTCTGGCATGTTGTAAAGGTCAGCTGTTATTAATTAGGTGTTTTTCAGGCTGGGCCCTAGATACCTCTGGGGTGAAGAGGACCATCCAGGGACATATTGTCTGGGGTCAGAGGGAGGTGTAAGTGCCCTTAGGTGCTGTTGTCCATGGTGCTGAATCATTACTGCATGATTGCCCATTAGGACGTTGTTTCTACGGATTTGGTGGACGAAGAGGCCCAGGACTGCCCAAAGACGTCCACAGATGAAATCCTGGGCTCCTGGAATGAACCATGCCACAAATTCTCAGGCAGTTCACAATCCTTCCCGGGTCTGAAAACCAGCAGAGACACTAGAGGAAGTATGGGCTTTGCATTCAGGCAGACATGAAGTGGAATAAGAGCTCAGCTGCCTGCAAACAGTCTGATCCTAGGTATGTTGGCATAATGCCACCTACCTTGAAAGATTATTTTGAGGATTATATTAATGAAGAACAAGTAGCAGATTCTCAATAAATGGTGGCTATTGTTTACGTTGTTATGGACAGCAGAAAGTGGAGGAAGGAAAAAGAACGGAGAATGGGAACTCAGAGTATGTCAGAGGAGGGAGGAGAGGGAACATGAAGTGGAAAATGCTCACAGACCAGCTCACCACATGTTCCTCCTGATCCACAGGAACTTAGCAGCCTGAAAGTGGTTTCACACACTGTTCCAAACCTGAACATTGTCCATTTGATGTGGTTTTGTTGTGGTTACTGTTCAAACACATACACACACAAACACACACCACACCTCTGCCACCACAACACCTGGTACATTTCCAGTGCTATCCTTTCCCAAGCTTGCCAAGCCCCATGCCATGCCTGGCAGTGTCTCTTCTTGGAAAGTTCTGTTTCTGACATAGGAATGAGCTGTGGCGAGAATAGAGCTGCCATTTTCTCACCCTCTCCGGGTTTCCTATTTGTTTGTTTTTGTTCCTTCACTTTAGGGTAGGAAACTCCTGTTAGCTGTTCTGTGCTCTCTTGAGACTATATGTTCAGCACAAACTGTCACAGAAGGGGTGTGAAACATAGATCCAGACTGTAACGAAAGAAAAATTCTGCAAAGAATATGCCATAACATGAGCGTTTTAGGAGTTAGGCAGGATGACAGGCAATCATGGGCCCCTGGTTTTTCCGTAATGTTTTAGTGCCTCAGAAAGGTGGAAATGATTTGAGAGATCCAGAATCTGGCTGCCTTAGGGCCCCCTTATGGAGAAGGAATAGCTTCAGGCATTCCAAGCTCCTCTTCTTAGTCCTGTTTCTTACATTAATATAAAGCGGTGGTTAAAAAACATTGGCCTGCGTCAGAATCTCCATGGCTCCGTAAAACCAACTGCAGGGCCACCCTGAATGTCTGTAGGTCTGGAGTGGCTTTTAAGAATTTGCTTTTCTTACATTCCTGGTGATGCCAGTACTGCGGGTGTGAGAACCACACTTTAAAAACCACTAATGGGACATTTTAGTTGCTATGACTCTCATAAACATTATACACATAATTCTCATAACAGCCCTGTGAACCATGTATTACTATTATTATTATCCCCATTTAGAGATGAAGAACACTTGTTTAATGTCTCATAATTGTAAGTGGTAGAGCCAAAATTGAATTCTGGTGTCTTTAATTCCAGTGCCTGACTTGTGCTTGATGCTTTAGGCAGAAGGCTCCTGACACTGGACATGAGTCATTTCCCTCTGTAGTGATCTTGTGAAGGAGGCCTCCTGTATCAGTCTTCTCCCAGCATCAGCCCCTCGGCTATGGAGTCTTGAGTGGAACTGCAGTTTTTGAAATTTAGAACCCCACTTCTTCAGCATCTCCTGTGTAGCACCCCTAGTGGCAAGGACAAGAGAACATTATCCCACATTTTGAGAACAGTTACAGGTGACCCAAGGGCCAGAGTGGGATTTTTTCCCCCCAAAGTCTCATGTTTTACCTCACACTTCCTGCATATTTTGCATTCTATTCCATTTGTGTTTATGTTTTATATAACGTAGATTGTCCCCCCTCAAATAATATTGGCTTTCCGGGAGCATGCCATGGTTTTCCCTCCGGCCTGCAAGTTACCTTCCAGTTCCAGGATGAGGGTTCAGTGCCTTTGGCTTCTTGGTGGTATCAGCACCTAGCCCAGGGCCTGGCCCTTCTGTACTTAGTACTTATTCATCCAGAAGCAATGAAAGGGAAGGCAATGGCCTTTGGGACTAAACAAACACCAGGTTCTGTCTCAGTCATTTTACAGCTGTAAAATGGGCATAAAATATACCTTCTCCCAGAGTTATTGCCTGGTACAGATGAAGTGTGCAAAGCACCAGATGTGTTATATTCTATAAATGGAGGTGGCTTGTTATTGTAATGATTTGTGGCATGGGTGAATAGGTAAATGAATGAATGACCCACACTCAAGCTGTGAATTCCTTGGGCTGTGAACACTCCTCAGCCTGACAATGCCTGCTTGTGCCAAAGGCAGCCCCCTCAGGGAGCACATCTCAGCTTCTCCCAGGAGCCTGCTCATCTCTGCTGGGTACTGCCCCTCCCCCCACGCACACACACTTGGGCAGTTCTGTTCAGCCTAACATTTTCACAGCTCTCCGAGAGCAGGGTTCACTCTGCGACCACTCATGGGATGCAAAGTCCTCAAAATGCAAGTAGTACACAATTCCAAGACTTCTTTATTTTTGTTTGTATAAGACTATATGCTGGTAATTTACCAAATGAGGTGTTAGGAATTGCTCACATTTGCTATCCACAAACTCAAACCAGTTTGATACTGAGTACCTGGGGGCTCTAATCTGTCCATGTGGTCTCTCTGCAGTCTCTTCAGCAGGTGGCTGAGCTTCTGCATGGCAGTGCGGAGCTCCCCAAACACAACAGTGGAAACTGCAAGGCCTTCGTAAGGCTTCGGCATGACACTGGCATTCTCTCGGTTAAAGCAAGTCAAAGGCACAACCCAGACTCCAAGAAAAGGGACTAAAAGGGCATGAATATCAGGAGGCATGGTTTTAGGGGGACCTCCAATGTAACCCTACTACAGTGGTGACAATTCATTGATGAATTCAAGCAACTTAACTCCCAACATACTGTCAGGGTAAGCAAAATAAAATGACTATTGTAAGTTTATAGACTATATTTTATAAGTTTATAGGTAATTATCTTAATAAAATGTGTACACTGATTCATGTTTTTTGTTATAAAATAAATGACTCATAAATAATATTATCAATAATCTTATGTCAACTTGTATCTTTTGTTTCCCTCCAATTCTTTTTTTTAATTGTTTTTTTTTTAATCCTCACCTGAGGACCTTTTTGCATTTATCTTCAGATAGAATGGGAGGAAGAGAGGGGGGAAGAGAGCGAAAGAAACATCGATGTGAGAGAGACATTGAGTGTTTGCCACCCACATGACCCCAACCAGGGTGGGACAAACCGCAACTGAGGTACGTGCCCTTAGCAGGAACCAAACCCAGGACTCTCTGGACCGTGGGCCGACGCTCTAACCGCTGAGCCAAACAGGCCAGGGCTCCCTCCAATTCTTTATCTCCCAGTTCTATTTGTACTAGGATGTGCAGTCAGGTGTGGCAGCATCTTCTGCTCCACACAAATGGTCTCAGTCAAAAAGGTTCACAACCACCTTTCTAGTGGTCAAGAAATTAACCCTGAGAACTCGTGTAGCAGCTAGGCCTACAAGGTGAGCAGGGCACTGGTTTCACCCTGAGGAAGCTTGGAGCCTCACAGGGACACTGTGGTCAGCACCAGCATGAAGACAAGCCCAAGGCGCTGTTGGAGAGTGGAGAAGTTATGCCCCACCTAGTCTACATAATTAAAGGGAGCTTTTTATTTTATTTTATTTTATTTTTTTATCCTCACCCGAGGATATTTTTCCATTTTTTTGTACAGATAGAGTGGGAGGGAGAGAGAGGAAGGGAGAGAGAGAGAAACATCGACGTGAAGGGACACATCAAGTGGCTGCCACCCACACGACCAACCAGGGCCGGGGACAAACTGCAACCGAAGTACGTGCCCTTAGTGGGAACCGAACCCGGGTCTCTCCGGACCGCAGGCCGACGCTCTAACCGCTGAGCCAAACTGGCCAGGGCTAAAGGGAGCTTCTTAGAGTAGGTGATGCTTGAACTAAACTCCAAAGGCTGCATAAGAGTGACCCAGTTGAAGAAAGATTAGCAGGAGCAAAAGCCCAGAAATGGGCGGTTATCATGATGTGCCTTCTTACAAGTCTCGGAAGAGTGGGTTTTTTTTATCTTTCTAGCTTTTAGTCATTCGTAACTTTTAAAAATATACTCATTATGGGTTTGCTATAAATCATCAGATGCATACAAATAAGCTCCCCCAATCTGATGCTGTATTCACGAGTTAATGTTTTTATGAGAGCAAAGAGGAGATGAAGAGGTGTTTGTTCCTGGATAATTGGCTATGGCTGATTCATTCAAATGAATAGAGACCTGGGGTGCAATTCAATACCCATTGAATTTGCCGTCTTCCTCCTGATTTGAGATTTCCATGCTGACATCTATTCAGAACAAATAAAGTTTGATCCAGTGTGTGAAGTTACAGAGCTAGAAAAATGGGTTAGAAAACATTATTCCCACCCCTTCATTTTATAGACAAGAAAACTGAGGCCCGGGGGCTGAAGCTATTGCTGAGAGTGGAAAAGCTGTAGGGACATAAAACATTCTCCTCCCATCCAAACCTGACAATATCCAATCTGAGTGTTATTTAGAAAACCCTATTACATTTTTTTTCTGCCAGGAAACATGTTCAGGGTGGCAATAAGACTGTTCATACTGTCACGAGGCTCCAAGACAGGAGCGATGGGTCAGGCTGCAGAAAGGGAAATGCCGGGTCATGTCGGCAGGAGCAAGCCCTCATGTATGGTAGCTGTCACGTCTGTCAAAGGGCAGGGAACCAGAGGGGGCGGTCGTAAGAGTGTGGTCCGCAGCTACCATTTGAAGAGTCAGGCAGCATTTCTAGCCTTTAACTTTTCCTGATGGAAATAAAGAATGGTGCAGCTCAGCTCCACTCACCAAGAAGCCAAGCACTGAGCTACAATGAAACAAGAGTGATAATAATATGAACATGTGTTGAGTTATTGCAACATATACCTCTTTACCTTGTTACCCCTCCTCTGCTCCCCCGTGCCTTCTCCAGACATGGTAGATGGCCCCATACTTCCTTGTACATATCTGTACCACTGATCTTACCAGCTTGCATGTTAGTTATCTTTTTGGGGTGTCTGTCTCTAACACAAGACTGTCAGCTACCACAATAGAGAAATAAAGAGGATCTATGGAAACACAGCTGGGCTCGTTTGCTCAAAGAGTTCAAGCTATAGAGAAAAATGGAACCAGACATATGCGTGGTGGTTTGTCATAGGAAGGCAGGAGTGGAGGGCATTCCAGGTAGAGTAAAGGCATGGTGTGCTTGCCAGTCCATTAACTAATGTTTGTGAGGTCCTGTCACGTGACAGGCACATTGCCACGTGCTGAGAAGACAGCAGGTTGATTTGGCTGGACTGGGGAGCACCTGGGGCAGAAGGTAATTGGGGTGAGGATGGGGAGGTGAGCTGAACCGTGGGCAAAGAATCTTCTGGAACTGGCTGAAGAGCTTGCTCTTTATACTGGAGGCCAAGAGAGACTTCTGGAGTATTTAAGCAGCTAAGTGCTGGAGTCAAATTTGGTTCTAAATGAGGAAGATCTTTATGAACAGATGTGGAGTGATTCATAGGAATACATGGTTAAGGGGGGGGGGGAACAGTGTGTGAAAGACAATCCATAATGGGCTACCATTTGTGTAAGAGAGAAGGGGATGTAAGAAAATATCAACAAACCTGCTCAAAATGCAAAATTAAATGCAGAAAGGAAAAACTAGACATGATAAAGGGTGAGTAAGAATAAGATGAAAAGGTGGGGGCAGGAACAGAGTAAAAAGAATGGGAAAAAGAAATGCTCTCTCAGTATAACTTTTTATAAAGTTCTGACTTTTATAACCATACTAAAAAAGAATCAATGGGAATAAAGGAAAATCCCTAAAGTGAAATGCCAACAGAAATGAATGGGTGTGGGAAAGAACAAACCTAAATAACTTCTGAAAACAGTATTTTGAGGATATGCTGTTGGCTGAAGACGAAAGAACTGTAAACAAATCTTCGACTCTGTTTTGTTTTTCACAGGGGTGTGACTAGCAGTTCTGAACAACTTCTGTGTATTTTAGGATTGAGCAACTAAGTATATTGTAGCTCATGAAAACAAAGTTTTTTGGAGAGGGGAGTTTAAAAATACAGAATAAGAGAAAGGCTATGATTGGCATAGTAGTGTTGGATTGTACTTGAAGTACGAGTATGAACTTGGGGTTTTAAACACGGATGGATGGAGAGGTAGATGATAGATAGACAGCCAGCCATGGATGAGATGAGTGTGGATAGATGCATGTATTCCTAACTGTCCCTGAGAGGGCCGAGCAGCAGTGACAACCCAGTAGCAATGAGCACAACTAGTGCCCTTACCTTGGTTTCAAATATCATTCTCCACTAAAAGAAATCAGGGCATTTGAGAAATGACTGATTTCAGGACTAGGACTGAGGAAGGACAAGATACGCCTGAAATATTTTGTAGTCCCAGAAAATAAAGATATGCTCAAAGAATGATGGGACTGTGTCTAAATGAGCTTCAAATGAGCTTTCACTGACCAAATCTGGGACAATTCAAGACTCAAAACACATAATGATAGTAATGAATTATAATGCATTGAATAAAATAAGAATTCATTAATACAAATAAATACATTCAATCTAGATATGACATACATGTATACATATTTATTTAAATATTATTAATATTCTTGTATATTATGTTTATATTTTAATATTTACGTATACTATATGTAGTATTTATAGGACAAATAAAAATATATAAATAAACTGATATAAAGAAATAATGGAGAAGAAACAACTCTTCCTAACAATAGAATTTCAACTAATAAATATAGAGGGAAAAATGGAATCAGAAATTCATTATCATAGTAACAATTAATCCTAGCAAGAATCATCAGTGCACCTGGCCGGTGTGGCTCCATGGTTGAGCGTTGACCCATGCACCAAGAGGTTGCTGGTTCACTCCCAGTCAGGGCACATGCCCAGGTTGTGGGCCCGATCCCCAGTGGGGGACATGCAGGAGGTGGCCAATCGATGTTCTCTCTCATTGATGTTTCTCTCTCTCACTCCTTCGCCCTTCCTCTCTCTCTCTCCCCCTAAAAAATCAATTAAAAAAAAGAATCATCAGTGGATGTTAAACTAGTGGATAGAAGTTTGATGAGTAATTACAAAATTACAACAACTTGGAGCAGGATAAGATCCAGTTCAGAAATTGTGGCACAACATAAAAGACTTTGTACCCAACTGCAGTCAGCTGGTTGTTTAAGTTGTATTGCTGTGTTGTATTTGCAATAGGATGATTAAAATAATTATTTATTGAGTGCCCGCCCAGCCGGAGTAGCTCCATTAGTTCAGCATTGTCCTGTGCACTGAAGGGTTGCTGGGTCCATTCTTAGTCAGGGCACATGCAGTTCAGAGTTCAATCCCCGGTTCGGGTGTGTGCGGAGGGCAGCCAATCGATGTTTCTCGCTCTCTCTCTCTCTCTCTCTTTCTCTCTCTCTCTCTCTTTGTCTCTCTCTCTCTCCCTCCCTTCTGTCCTCCCTCTCTCTAAGCATGTTCTCAGCTGAGAATTAAAAAATAATAATAATAGTAATATAAAAATTATTGAGTGCCCACTGTGTTATAGGCATTGTGCTAGGTGGGGTTTGGGGGGGGGGGTGTCTGCATATATTAACTGAGTTAACCATAACACTAACTCAGTGAAATTTTTATTAGTATTCCCATCTTTGAAATAAAGAAACCAAAGTCCAAGGAACAAAGAAAATGTGTCTAAGTTGAATAGCCAAAAGAGTCATAGCCAGGATTCAGATCTCCTGCCTTTTGATTTTGAGTTGCATGGTGTTCTCTCATGTGGTGTGTCTCTGGTCCCTCTTAGAGCTCCATGCTTCTGAAAGTGTGCAGAATGATATATCAGGGAGGCCTTCTTACACAAAAGCATTATGGGGTTCCTTCTTTCTCCTCACCATATCAACTAAACGCCTTGCCTCGTTTTCCTCATCTAAAAATAGGGAAGGCAGTGCTCGCTTCACATGGTTGTGGTGAGGACTACCTTAGATAATAGGTGGGAAACACAGAGCACAGTGTAAAATGAGTGTTCAGCGGTAGTGGTATCACAGTTGTAATGTTAAATTCCCTGGTATGATGGAAAATGTTTTTACAGGGTACCCCTCGATTTTGGACTTAAACAACAGAGGCCAGATGGTAAAGAGCTTTGTGTATCATGAAAAGAAGGTTACATCTTATTCTACAGGCAATAGCAACCACTGAAGAATTTATTACCAAGAGAGAGATGATCTGGTTGGCAATTTAGAGCTGACCAAGGGGAGAAGAGCAAAACCCAAAGCAGGGAGAGCAGCAGGAGGCTGTCGTCAGAGGCCACGTGAGAGCAGATGAGGGGCTGAGTTAATGAACCAGCTGGTGTGATGTAGAGGAGGGGACATACAGTGGACAGTCCCTCTCTGGGACTGGTGCCTGGGGTTGGCAGGAAAGGAAGGAGGAGGTACCGAGACTGAGTGCTGGCTCCTCTCTGGGCACAACCAGAATGCAGAAGAGAGGCAGGGTGGGGGCATGGGAAAGTGTCAGTTTGGAGTGGTTTGGGACATACAAGGGAGTCCCAGTGACAGCTGTTCAGATCGGAGTGAGGAGAGAGCATAGGGCTGGAGCAGCATGCTTGGGCGTCACTGAATCTGTGGAGGAGGATGAGAGCCCTCAGGGAAGGGATGTAGAGTGAGGAGAAGACTCAGAATGGGATTCCGTAAACACCGATATTTAATGATAGAAAAAGAGGAGGCGGAAGGAGATGGAGGAGGAACACTCAGAAAGATAAAAGAGGCTCAAGGGGGTGTTTTCTGCTATGGAAAGGTCTACAGAGAGCAAATGAAGCAAGGAAGGCCTGCAAGGTGCCTTTTAGATTTGGTAATTAGGTCACTGGCCACCTTGGCAAGAGCAGGTGCCAAGGAGCAAAATCCAGTGGGCTGATGGATTCAGGAAAGAATTGGACTTTTAAAGAAAGAAATTAAAACTGGAATGCTTCTAGGGATACAGGCATCTCACGCTCTTGTCGTGCATCCCGCCTACCGCTGTAGCGCTCTGCTTGGTGGAAGGGCTCCTTCACAGAGCCCGACCCCCGCAGCATCTTCCCTCAGCTCCAGTTTAGCCTTCAGGTCCGCTCCTCCCGAGAACTGTACGAATCTGCCTCCTCACTGGGGGCCTCCTCCAGCCCCTCAGCCATTCCTCGTATGCTCCAGGCTTCCCAGACCTGCCCTGAAGTCCTCCTCTCCACGATGGGTCCTGTTTTATTGAAACTGGGCTCATTCTTGGGTAACACCATTCTTTATTTCTCCTCCTATTGGGTTGGTAGCTTTCCAACATCTTTTAAAACTCAACCCAGAATAGGAATACATTTTACATTGTGATCATTATACACATGTATATATAACTGAAAGGAGATGTACTCTTTTTTTTTATTTTTGTTACAGATGTTTTTCTTTTTTCCTCCCATTGACACCCTCTTCCCATTCCCCCGCCTCACCCCAGCATTGTTGTCTATGTCCATTGGTTACGCTTATATGCATAAGTTCTTTGGTTTATCTCTTCCCTCCCCCCTTCCCCTCTCATCTGAGATTTGTCAGTCTGAACCCTACTTTTATGTCTCTGGGTCTATTATATTCATCATCTTATTTTGTTCATTTTATATTCCACAAATAAGTGAGATCATTTGATATTTGTCTTTCTCTGATTGGTTTATTTCACTTAGCTTAATACTCTCCAGGTCCCTTCATGTCATCTCAAAGGATAAGAGATCTCTCTTACAGCTGCATAGTGTTACATTGTGTATATGTACCACAGCTTTCTTATCCATTCATCAATTGATGGACACTTGGGCTGTTTCCTGATCTAAGCAATTGTAAATAGTGCTACTATGAACACAGGGGTACATATATTCTTTCTGGTTGGTGTTTCAGGCTTCTTAGGGTATATTCCTATAAGTGGGATCACAGGGTCAAATGGCAGATCAATTTTTAGTGTTTTGAGGAAACACCATAGTGTTTTCCATAGTGGCTGCACTAGTCTGCATTCCCACAGCAGTGCACTAGGGTCCTCTTTTCTCCACACCCTTGTCAGCACTTGTTGTTTGATGATTTGTTGATGGCGGCCATTCTGACAGGTGCGAGGTGATAATTCATAGTTGTTTTAATTTGCATCTGTCTGGTGATTAGTGACGTTGAGCATTTCTTCATATGTCTCTTGGTCATTTTTATGTCCTTTTTGGAGAGGTGTCTATTTAGGACCTCTGCTCATTTTTTAATTAGATTCTTTGTCTTCCTTTTGTTGAGTTGTATGAGTACTCTATATATTTTGGAAATTAACCCTTTATCTGATGTATCATTTGCAATTATGTACTTTTCTTATTTTCAACTTTATTTCATTTCATTTGGTCCTCTTCTAATCGATTTCATGTTATTAAATGCTGGTCCTGGCCTACCACATTCATTTCCCAACCCACTAAATTGGTTTAATGACTGATGGTGGGAGCCACTGTGCTAGGAGGACCTTAGAGAAGATGTTAATTCATTCCCTTTTTCTCCCCAGAATCTTCCACACTGGGGCCCACAGGTCTTCTTTCTGTCACTTTTTTGGTGATTCTGAGAGGAGAGAGAACTGCTTCAGGCACTAGGATGTGAGCCAGCCTTGCAGGGTATTTGCATTTCCAGGCTGACTCATGGGGGAAGATGAACAGCTCGAATGGTGGAATTTAGAGTCAGTGGAGGACAGAGTGGCTCATCTTTCAAATCACCCCACATAGGCTCCTGTCCCTGTGCTTACACACCGGGCATCCCACAGCCCGAGGCATCTTCCTGCCTCGAGATGCCCTGAGTTGTCTCTGTTACCCCTTTTCATGGGAAACATGCAGGCTACCTTCCCCACCCCAGTCAGACACCGTCTGGAGTTGTGCTGGTCTGGTCTCTACGTCGTCTTCAGACTTCCCTGAGGAACCGTCCTTCCTTTGAGAACCATCACCTCCTAAAATCTTCCAGCAAAGGAAATTTGGGGATTTTTAATAAGAAATGATGACTTACGTGTTCAAACACTATCGTTAACAATGTCTTTTCCACTTCCGGCCAGGAAGAGCAAGACTTTTGAAGTTACCTTGACTGCAAATAGAAGGATGTTCTCTGAGGAGTCGCAGAGGCCTTCGCTCGTCTGCTGAAAGGTGCCGCTGCTGCCATAGCCGCTTGGGTTCCCGAGAAGCCTCCCGAACGGCTTGTTCATCGCACGCCCGGGATGCGCCAGGCCCTGGGCTGGGCCCCGGCTTCTCCCTGGTGAACACAGCTCCGTCCCGGCCTCGAGCGCTCATACCCAGCGTCAAGATGAGTGAAGAACGCTGGGTCTCCCTCACTTCAGACGAATTTTACCAGCTCCAGAAATATTCAGAATGTGAGTAGATGGATTGAGCCATCTGGGGTGGGATTTCCTCTTGGTTGGGGAGAACATTTCTGGAGAGCAGAGCAGAAAGCCACAGAGAATGAAGTCGGACCTGACAGCTTATATTTTCTCAGAAACACAGAATTAGTGTCTTAAACATAAAAACAATTATCTTTACACTCTGTAAGTGATACATACTCAGCATAGAAATTTAGAATATACAGGGGAAAAAAAAATAAAGAGTAGGTTAAAAACCAACAGCTAAACTCTGAACATTTTGGACACACCCCTCCTTTGCTCGTCGCTTTACATGGCTGAGTTCCTGAATATACCTTTTTTATTCAGCCTGCATTTTCCACCTAACATAATATCATAAGTATTTCCTCAGGTCATTAAAACCTCTTTATAGCACAAATTTTGAAGGGCTGCCAGCTGCGTGGTTACAATGTTAACCGTGGGCTCTAATATACTCCTGTTTGGACTAAAGTTTTTTTCAGTTAAAATACAGAATCCTGATGCATCCCTTTTTCTTGACTTTGTTCTAGAAAAGCCTAGACTTTTGAATGGGGCTCTTGGTTTCACTATTTGCACCCAAGAAATTTCAGTGCATGAAGACAATCGTGGCCACACCCATATTCACACGCGGCACACGCTGTGCACACCCTCCCCCCGCCCCCCATGGCCTCTCCCAGTCCTGACTGGAGCCAGGAACTTCCCCGGGCTGTGTAGAACTCCAGCTGACCGCTCCTCTCTGCACACACATCGTGACCATCCTGACTGTGCTGTGGAACCAAGCTTTCACCCTTTGTCTTACAGAGCTCTCGCGGGCACCCCTTTGTTCTAACCACCTCTCCCTTTGTGTTCATTGTACCGGTGTTTTGTAAATCACTAGCCTGTAGCATGTTGACCTGCCCTACAGAGCTGACCCTGTAAGGGGATCCTACGAATGCCCTTTTGGCAGCCTGCCCCCCTCCCACAGGACAGGCAGCCCTTGTCCACAGCACTGGTCTGGGAGTCAGGATCAGGCTCAGTACCAGCTCTGGCTCTCGCTCTCTGTGATTTGAAGCTTTTGACCCCCCCAGAGCCTCAGCATCCTCTTCCTCAAAATGAAAGGATTGGACTAGATGATCTCCCTGTGGCTCCCCCACCTGGACCTAACACCTCATGTGCTCCCCAAGGTCAATAGAAACTCTGAAGGCTACTGGTCAGTCTCTCTCCCGGTACCCTGGAGCCCATGGCCTCTTGTCTGGCCTCAGTGGGTTTAGAGAAACTCTGTAATATACTAACAAGGAGCAAGAAATCACCCTCCGGGGTAAACTCCATTGAACTCAGTCTGCTCTGCAGGTCAGCAAAGACAGGCCATGCCAGGGAATCAGAGGCTTGTTAGGGACTCAGATGTGCGCCTGGCATCAGCAGACAGCAGGTGTAAGCGGCGGGCACACACTCTGGCAGAGCTGGCTACGCCGAGGGCATACACGAGAAAGGAATTTAAAGCCGGGGGAGACTGATATGAGAAGGTGTATTAGTTTGATAGGCCACTGTGACAAGGTATCTGTGTGGCCTAGAACAACAGAAAGTGTCTCCCAGTTCTGGGGACTAGAGGTGCATGGTCAAGGTGTCGGCAGCGTCGATGCCCTCTGAGGGCTGTGGGAGGAGGGCTGCTCCAGGCCTGTCTCCTTGGCTGTCTTCTCCCTTTGTCTCTCCATCTGGCGTTGTCCCTCTATGCATGTCTCGGTGTCCAGAATTCCCTTTTTATATGAACACAGTCACCTTGGAATGGACCCATCCTACTACGGTATGACCTCACCTCAACTAATTCCATCTGCAATGATGCTCTTTCCAAATAAGGTCACATTTTGAGGTACTGGGGGTTAGGACATTGACATATAAATTTGGGGGGGGGACAATGTAAACCATCACAGAGGTTTAGCTGGGTGAGCTCTACAAAGGAAAGATGGTTTAAATGTGAGTAGTAGATGGTGGGGGGACGGGGAGTAGAAACCATGGAGGCAAAGGTAGAGGGACACAAAGAGAAGGGTTTGTGGGGCAGTGAGGAGAACTCAGGGACTAAATGGAGATGAGGAGCAGGGGGTGGGGAAGAGGACATGAGAGAGATGGGGACAGCAGGAGGCCTTGGCCCTGCATGGCAAGGCATGGCCTGTGGACCAAGGTGGAAAATTTGGTCCTGCAGGAGGCCATGGCCCTGGCCAGTTTGGCTCAGAGGTTAGAGAGCGGTCCTCAGACCGTAGGGTCACAGGTTCGATTCTCAGTCAAGGGCACATACCTGGGTTTCAGGTTTGATCTCCTGCCCTAGTCAGGGTCATGCAGGAGGCAACCAATCAATGTGTCTCTCTCACATTGATGTTCTCTCTCTCCCCGCCCCCTTTCTCACTCTCTCTCCCCCTCTCTCCGTCCCTTACACTTTCTCTGAGGATCAATGAAAAAATATCCTCTGATGAGGCTTAACAACAACAACAACAACAGATTAGAACCATAACACTGGTGGCTGAATGCAGGGTGGCTGTTGGAGGAAGCTGCCAGTACACAGGCACCAGGCAGAGAGAGGACTTTGGGTGAAATCTAGTCTGAGCGGAAGAACAGAGCTAAGACGATGAATGTGGCAATGAACAAATGCTAATTTGTGGAAAACTGCCGTGGAAGAGTCATTAGAACTTATGGAACAAAAGGAAGCCAGCAAAGATAACTCAAAGCCTGTGAATCTGTGGGAAATGGCAACATTAGGAAGCAGGGCTGGTGGGGATGGTTTGGGAATGTTGATTTTGAGACGGTGATGACACGTCCACTTCTGCATTCATATGTGCCAGGCTCCAGGGAGCCAGCAATGAATGAGACACAATCCTGCCAAAAAGAGCTCACAGCCCAGTGGGGGAAGACAGGACTCAAACAGTGATGTTCAGTATGACAGGTGCCAAGGAGTGGGGAGCACAAAGGAGGAACCTAGGCCAGCTGTGGGGAGGCTTCCAGACTCCAGAAACACTAGTAGGAGGGAGGACGGGGAAGACATTCCAGGCAGAGAACGTGGCTTGGGCAAGGCAGGGAGGTGAGAAAGTCATCAGGGTAGCTTCCAAAAACTGCAAGCAGTTCCCAGGCTGGGAACCTCAAGCTCATGTTGGTGGGTGGCATGGGGGGAGTTGGGCATGAAGTGGAAAGGTAAGTAGGACCCCATCCTGGGGATGCTGCTTTCTGAGTGGGACGTCTTGTGGGCCCCAGGAAGGTAGGTAGTGGGGTTGGGTGGGAATGAAGGGTTAGGCTACAGCTCTGACTTGGGAATCCCTGTGTGGAGGCAGCAAGGAAAGACAAAAGTAGGAATGAAGGCACTTCAGAGAGCAAGAGTGTGAGGAGAGAAGAGAGGATGGAGATTGCGACTTAGTGCATGCTTACCACTGGGGGTCAGGAAAGGAAGAAGAGTTAGCAGGAGACACAGAGAGAAAATCCAGCAAGACAGCTAGTGAAAGAAGAGTAGCGGGTCGAGGCAGCTACGGGACAAAGGCTCCAAAGGTGGCAAAGCCGTTGAAGACGCAGGGCCTGAAAAGCAACCAGAGTATCTGGTAGGAAACGACTCCTTTGTGATCTGGGGCTTTCAACCATCCACCTTGTCCTTCTCTGACCCTTCCTCATTTCGTCCATGTCCTAGGACTTGATGAGGTGCTCTGGCTCCATTGTTCTAACGGGAGGGAGAAAAGATACAATTCTTGGGAAATGATTAATCCTCAGAGGAAATCCTGAAAAAGGCACTTGTACCAATTTTAGACACATTCTGGTGTTCAGTCAGATTGCATTACCATAGCAACTGCTCTTCCAAAGCCACACAAACAGGAGCTTTACAATAGCGGAATAACTGAAGTGGACAGCCTGAGACGGTCACTTTCCCTGGAGGGAGCCCAAGTGTTCAAAGGCAAGGGGCTCTTGGCGTGTGAGGTTCTATAGCATAAACTAGACCTTCTTTGATGGCCTTTTTTTTTTTTTTTATCCTCACCCAAGGACATATTTTCATTTTTTGTTCAGATAGAGCGGGAGGGAGAGAGAGGAAGAGAGAGAGAGAGAGAAACATCGACGTGAAAGGGACACATCGAGTGGCTGCCACCCGCACGACCAACCAGGGCCGGGGACAAACTGCAACCGAGGTACATGCCCTTAGCGGGAGCCGAACCCGGGTTTCTCTGGACCGCAGGTCGACACTCTCATTGCTGAGCCAGACTGGCCAGGGCTTTGGTGGCCTTTTATTGCAGGAGAAACCATGTTAAAACTGCCCTTGGAGACATGTATTTATTGTATATGTATAATTACATAATACCCTCATATATGTGTATACTTATATATATAGTTGACAGTAAGCTTAATGTGAAGTAGTAGTGAAAAACACTTGTCGGAAAAGAGAATGTGATGTTAAGAATTTTTTGTTACAAACTAAAAACAAATGTAAAATTTTGAAACACCCACCGGAAGATGAAATTTAAAGCTACCCATAATCCTATCTGCCAGTGAGAACCACTAATATTATAACAAAAGTACATATATTAGACTATTTGTATGCTGTTTTCTTCACCCTAATATGTTTAATGTATCTATTGCTGCATCAGAACCACTTTAAAACTTGGTGGGTTAAAGCAACCATTTAGGTTTCTTCCCCACGTTTCTGTGGCTCAGGAGTCTGGACAGGGCACAGCAGGGATGACCAGTGCCTGCCCACAGTGTTTGGGGCTTCGGGTGGGATGCCTCACATGACCCAGCATGGCTTATTAGTCACACCCTAGGGCCTCAGTGGTGCTTCAAGGGGCCTGTTTCTGCAGCGCTTTCTCCTCTCTCAGGACCTCTTCATGTTGGCCCCTTTCCAGCAGCGCAGCCTGGACTTAGTGTGGCTCCGGAACCCAGGAGCATAAAAGCTGCACCTGCCAGGCCTCTTTGACACCTGGGCTCAGAGGTCTAGAATGGAACTCTCTCCACATTCCGTGGGTCAAAGCAATCACAGGCCTGGCCCAGGTTCAGTGTGT